CCCTGGCCTCCCTCCCGCCGTTTCAGCGACGGGACGGATGCGGCAGACTTGGTGATACTCTGAAGTGCGACAAACTCAGAGGCGGTAGTATTGAGGTCGAGTTCAGGAGCGGTGGGGAAGCGAGAGGCGGTGGTATTGAGGTCGAGTTCAGGAGTGGTGGGGAAGCGAGAGGCGGTAGTATTGAGGTCGATTTCAGGAGTGGCGGGGAAACGAGACAAGCAGTGACTACTGACAGATTCGTGTACAGTATTCGGGACACTGAAGGTAGATGGATGCATTACTGGCTATGGTCATGGAAATTCACAAAACCAAGACCTCATCGAAAGTAGCCATTGACTGCTGCGATCTCACATATGTTAGTGGGGAGGAGTTAATGAACGGTCTCAAGGAGTTTGGTGTGACCGTCGCACGCCGCATGAAGGCGTGGAGGAGTGGTGAACTGATCCTGTCAAGCAAAATTATTATTACCTTCAATCGAACTGACATGTCTTCAGGAGTACGCGTAGGATATGCGAAGGTCAAGGTGCGCCCCTTCATTCACACCCGATGCGATGTTTCAGGTGTCAGAGGTTCGGGCACACGAGGGACTCATGTCGGAACCACGGAGCGTGGAAAGGGCCCCTCCCCAGACCACGCCTCCGAGCGATGTACCGCAAAAAAGTAGCGATGTGCAAACGGTGGACATGACCAAACTGCCACATCACATACGATCGTTCACGCTCAGCCGATGCCAAAGAAAAAAATGTGACGTTGAAAGCTACTACAAACATGTCTTTTGTTGAGGCAGGTGAATTATACGAATATAGTCCCACTGTGTCCGAGCACGCCAAATGACAGCAGCTCAGCTCGTCGATCTCTTGAGGATATTCGCTCTCACAGATATCATTGGCTCGGGCGCTTGACGCCCAGGCAGTGTCAGTGCCCCCGCAAATCCCGTCAGCTCTCCCTGCCCCGACCGAGGCGCGCGTTCGAGCGGCGGCCGCTGCGCCGCCGGTCCCACGTGCACCGGCAGAAGACGGCTTCTTGACACCGGTCCGTCGGGGCCGGCCTTTCAAGTCCCCACTGCCGACGACAGGATCTCCAGGGTCGCAGCCGGTCTCTCCAGGATCACGACCGTCAGCGGTGAGCGAGACCATGGGAAGCACCCTTGGTAACCTGGAGCGCCACGAGACAGAGGAACGCGCCCATGATGCTGAGTGTGGGCGTTTGATGGAACAGGAGAGGGCCAAGACAGTGAACCGGTTTTCAGGGATGGATCAGGGATAACCTCCCACGGGGAAGGCTGCCCCTCCGCCCAGAAGGCGCGTGGAGACACCCGCGGGCTCCTCTGGATCACGGAGTGACACACCGCTGGGCTCTCCACCGCCACCGCCGCCTGGGACCACTATTCCGGCGCCGGCGCCGTGCAGAATGAGACACCTGGAGAAGCGCGGCTCTTCCTGGCCAGCGTCTACCTCCGAAGGTGCAAGTCCGCGGAGAAGACCGCGAAACCGTCCTGTATCGGTCGGATCGGACCACCAGGATGCTGTCGCCACGTGAAGTGTAAGCGCTCGCGCGACTCAGTTATTTTAAGCTGCGATCCTCTGTGGTGTGGCTTTAGGCTTGAGCCCATGCTGTCCGCAGTTGACACTACACCTTACTTGGCATGCATCTACGGGCACACTCGGAAGTGATCATTTTCCGATCTGGGTGTAGTGCGATCATGGTACCGTCTTTAGCACTCGAACTCAGCATTGGAATTAAAAAAGGCGAACTGGAGTGAATTTGAGACGCGCTTTGAGACGTCTTTTTCCCAAGATGTCGACATCGCGACTCTGGATGTGGGTGATTTTGCATTTTGTTATTTTGATCGCGGCACATGGGTGCATTCCGCGTACTCTTGATTTTCTTGCCGCACTCCTGTGCCGTGGTGGACGGACGGGTGCCGCGATAATATTCGTGCTCGTTGAACCGGGTTTAGGACTTTTGACCCTCGTAACAGCACAGACAACCGTATTGCGTTCATGCGCGCGCGCGAGGTCAAGCGACGCACTGTTCGGGAGGCCAAATGCGCGGCGTGGTGTAGGTACGTCGGATCGACACGCACCTATGTGACAGGCATGGGCCCGCATCAAGCAAACTGTGGGCGCCTTCTCCTCGACTCCTTTTCCAGTGCTACGCAAGTGAGGTCGCAAACGCCGTTGGTCAGGCCCCATCAAATCGCGTCAAAATGAAACTACGAACCCACAGTTTCTACGGCACAGGGCAAGATACGAAGCATCCCAATTAAATTTTAATGCAGAGGACCTACTGACATGCAATTAACACATCACGATAATTGAACTTACGAGCTACGCGTCTGCTACATAATGTTGCAGAAGGGCCTGATCTTATCCACAATGACATGCTACGGCACTTAACCCTCAGCACGCTGCGAGTACCTAGTTCAGTATTCAACTGTTTATGGATGTCGGGTAGCTTTCCACCATCCTGACTAGAGGCCATGGTAGTGCCGATACTGAAGACCAGAAAAAGTGGAGCTGATCCTTTTGACTATCGCCCCATCTTCCTTACGTCATCCCTTTGCAAACCCATGGAAAGGATGGTTCATGTGCGACTTACCTGGATTTTGGAAAAAGTTTTTTGCCAACGTACAGTGTGGTTTTCGGACAAATACAACCACTGTCGACCATATTTTAACTCTTGGCACTGCTGTGCGGACATGTTTGAGACGGAACCATTGCACTGGGACCATTTTCTTTTATATCGAGAGGGCCTTTGATACATCACGAAATCATGGTATGTTAGCAAGGCTATTAAACTCTGGCATCCGAAGTGGAATGGACCATTTTTACAAGACTTCTTAGCGGACTGATTCGGGTTCCTGTTGGTTCCTATCTGTCCGACAGACATGTGCAGGAAGGTGTGCCTTAGGGCAGTGCGCTGAGTTTGAGTTTGTTCGCGGTAATGATAAATGTTGTAGGGACCCACTTGCACAGTGTGTCGGTCGTTCTTTGTTTGTGGGCGATTCCGCTATTTGGTGTAGTTTTTCGACCATCCGCGTGACGAAGCAGCAGTTGCGGCCCGCAGTGATTCATCTGCGGAAGTGGACTATTCTTAATGGCTTTTGTTTTTCTACTTCCAAGGCAACCGCCACGTATTTCTGCCGCCACCGCCGTAACTGTTACGAAATAAAAGTCATACGTACGGGAAAGTCGTCCTGGCCGGACATGCAATGTGCGTCTTACGATGCAGACAGGAGGACTCTTTTGCTTCTGCACCATTCCCTCGTCCGCTCCCAAATTTACTGCTTGCCTGGCTGGCAAGCTTGACTATGGTTGTTTTATCTACGATGGTGCATCAGACTCAGTCAAATGCACTCTAAACACGGTTCACCACGCCGCACTCAGTATCGCTACAGGGACTTTCCGCACGTTGCCCGTTGTCTTCTGGTGGAGGCTCATGAACTCCCAATGGCAATACGCAGACAAATCCTGAGATTGCGCTTTGCGTGCAAGATGTCACAGCTCTCAGACCATCCGTCGTGCCAAGCGATGTTTTCACGTAGCATGCCAAACCTTTTTCAAGAGCAACGTTCACGACAAACTTCTCTTTTTTGCTCTCAAATTCGGGAGTTTCTGGATGAAGATGGCGTGAACTTAATTGTTATCAGGCCTAGCCCGATGCCAATCCCTTCCTGGGGAGCTCACGTCGGCGATAGTAATGTATCGTCAACAAACGCGAAAACAAAATGCACTATCGACCGAATTTAAACGTAAAGCTCCGAAACACATAGCTTCCTTTCACGGATATACAACTTACACAGATGGTTCCAAACAGATGCTGCCTTTCACGGATATGCTACGCTTGTTAAAATGTGCTTTCGGGTCTTGCCTCGCTGGATGGGGCGGGGAAAAACTGTGGTATTACGTTGGATCCAGAGCCACTTAGTGGTCACCGTTAATGGTCTCGCCGGCACCGCAGCGAAACGTGCGCGCATACCGTCACACCACTGCATGCCGAGGACATGTACCCAGTCTTTTTATCTTTTATGCAGAAGCTTTGACAATTCCGCTGCGATTCGTACAGCAACAAGCTGAAGGTCGCCAAACCTCGCATCTGGCCGTGGTAGTCACCTTCCTGCCAAGAAAGAAGAGACGAGGCTGCTTTTTACCGCCTACGTACAGGGCAAACTTGTGCAACTCACCGTCCTCTGCCATTTGCTAACAAAAGCCCACGCTGCCTCCGATGCGGCGCCCGCTTACTGCGCATCACGTGTTGATGGCCTGTCCTGGCCTAGTTTGAACGTGGGTGCGGTTTTTTTTAGACGGAACCCTCCAACTTCAACACCGGCCGACAACTTGAGTGATGAATCTGACGCTGTCGAAACTCGAAACTATTTTTCAGTTTCTCCCTACTGTAGGTTTAGCTGTGTTGTTTTCACGGCTACGACATGCTTGACTCAGTATTTCGGTTGCTTATTTTTAGGATGCAAGCAAGCCCTTTTTAAGTCACGGCTCTGCTGCATAATACAATGGTAATGGGCGCTGCATAATCATTGGCAATCGATACGCCCTAACCCCCACCCCCCCCCCCCCCCACCCCCCTCTTCTGCCTCAATTATGACAGCACCTTTGACCCTGTGTCACTACTTATGAGGACGACAAGGACGGTGACACTGGGGTGCTGCTGCTGACGCTCTGACTTCCAGTGTGTGCTGAAACCACGTTGTGATGCCAGCGCTGTTGTGGTGTGGCGTTGCTGGCTGGGTGCGATGCCGGCGCTGTGGTTCCAGCGCCGTGATATGGCGCTGATGCGGCATAGTGTGGTGCTGACGCCGTGTGGTGCGGCAGAGTATGTTGGTGCTCCACTGCGTGGACGCTGTGGCGTGATGCTGACGTGGCGCGGGGCTGAAGTCGAGCTACCCTGGCTGTGGTACTGATGCCGCGGTGCCGACGCCACGGTGCCGCCGCCGCGTGCTGCTGACCCGGGCTGGTGACGTCACGCTCCTAACGCGACAGGCTGCTGTGCACCACGTCTGCCGACCACACGGCGCGCATCTGGTCGACGCGCGACTTCTCGCTGGTGCAGACGCTCGACTGGCAGAACAAGGACGAGACGCAGCGCTGGGTGTGGGACTGCGCCTTCTCCTCGGACGCCAAGTACCTGGTGACAGGTGAGTTGTGCAGTGACGGGTGAGTGGTGCGGTGACGAGTGGGTGAGTGGTGATGGGTACGTGATGCGGTGACGGGTGAGTGGTGCGGTGACGGATGAGTGATGCAGTGACGGGTGAGTGATGCGGTGACGGATGATTTATGCGGTGACGGATGAGTGGAGCAGGGATGGACGGGTGATGTGGTGACGAATGAGTGATGCGGTGACGGATAATTTGTGCGGTGATGGATGAGTGGTGCGGTGATGGATGAGTGGTGCGGTGATGGGTGAGTGGTGCGGTGACGAATGAGTGGAGTGATGATGGGGGAGTGATGCGGTGACAGTGAGTGGTGGGGTGACGAATGAGCGGAGCGATGACGGGTGAGTGTTGCGGTGACGGATGAGTGGTGCGGTGACGAGTGGGTGGTGCGGTGACGAATGATTTGTGCGGTGACGGATGAGTGAAGCGGTGATGGGTGGGTGGTGCGGTGACGGTCAGTGGTGCGGTGACGGATGAGTGGTGCGGTGACAGATGGGTGGTGCGGTACGGTGATGGGTGAGTGGTGCGGTGACGGATAATTTATGCGGTGACGGATGAGTGGAGCGGTGACGGATCAGTTGGGCGGTGGCGGATGAGTGGTGCGGTTACGCGTGAGTCGTGCGGACGGCGCGTCGCCCGGGCCGCCTCCCCGGGGCCTCGTCGGCTTGGCCCGGTCGTCCTCGGCTCGGCTGCTGACGGTTAAGTTTCCGTCCGCACCGCGTCGACGGCTGCGAGATGCGCCGCTCCCCAGGGCGTCGTCGCCGTGCGCGGCCCGGTGTCGCATGGTCGGATCCACTTATTAACGGGCGCCGTTTTGTACGGAGGTGGATGCAGAGGCTCGCGCGCTTTCAGATGGCCTTTTCGAGACATTAATAATGTTTTCGTTGTAGTACCCTCCAGGGTATTTGTCGCTCTGTAAGTGACGGTGGCTGAATGATGCGTTAGAATTAAACTGAGCTGTGAATGTTGGAGGAATGTATGATCGTGATGGCTTTAGAAGTGCTGAATACCCAGCAAACAGCTTATGCCTTTGACAGTATGGTGTGGGATCCGGCTCCTCTTGCTTTTTAGCAAAGAATTCGTGAGCGATATTTCCGTGGTATTAGAAGCCCGATGTTACTATTTGTGAACAATGAGACCGTCGTACTATTTGCGGCTCGTAACAAATAGGTTATGAAATATCCAGGCCTTTTGGTATGATAAAGGTGAAGATCAGGCTCATGTTGAAGAATTTTTCGCAAATTAACTGGCTCATTTTGCTGCTGTCAGGCTAAATTACTTTTCGCCTGCAGATGAAATTCGGAGGCTGAGGAAATGTGGTCACAAAACCTGCTAATTAATCTGAATAACCTAGTTATTCACGTTTGTGCTGGGTTCACTTTACTAACCATATTATTGTTTGTGGGATAAGTCAGTCTTTATTCCTATGCTTTGCCTGAAATCTCTGATCTTGTTGAGCAACCGTATTAAGATTCTCACCTTTAACATGATGTCGGGCATCTGCTCGATGATCTTAATTATAGAGTCGAAGTAAAATAATCTGCGTAACCGTTGGCATGGGTTTGGTTATTTATTATTCTGTTTTCAATGTCGTTGCCTTTGGATGCCTTTTCGCGTGAAGTCGGCTATTTGCAGTAACGTCTCAACGCCGTGTTTTGTAATTGTCAGATATATATCGTATCAAAGTGATGTAATCGGTCGTTGTTTTCTCGGCTGCTGCAAAGGACAGCACATGTCGCACCTACCATGCTGCGATCCGCGGGGAAATAGAACGCTTGGGACCAGACTGGGATGATTTAAAACCTGAAAACGCTACCACCATCAATTAAGTCGCGAGTTTAAATGCCAGCTGTGTCAAATGTTATGCAATGCTAGCTGTGCGAGATCTGTTGACTTAATCAGTATACGTAGCTTATTTGAATTGGCCAAGATTCTAACTGTAGATAAGACAGTAGTATTAGCCTTATTCCTCGGAGAAAAACCAGGAGAAAGGAGATAAAGTTGGGTTGATTTTCGGCAACATGCCTTTATCAAAATAATAGAAGTGCTTGATTGAAGTGCATTGACAGATGACGCCACTTCTGTTATCGTTTCGACAAAGGCATGTTGCCAAGATATCGAGCCGACTATATCTCTATTCTCCTGGTTTTTCTCCACGGCGTAAGGCGGATACTGCTGTCATGATATGTATATATATATATATATATATATATATATATATATATATATATACGCATATATATCTGAATAATTTTCCCCGCTAATGCACTGAACAACTTGCGTGAGATTCTAAGAGCCTTTTTTTGCTGTGGCAGCTCTTGCATGACATCGCTTAAGTTGCTCGTGTGGTTTGCTTCCTATTATAATTTGTGTGCTGAAATGCCACAGTGAAATACGTTGTCACGCCTTCCGGGTGAAGGTGTGCATTTGGCAAAGGTATTCGCTCCCAACGTTTATAATGACCATCTTGTAAAACTGCTTTCGTACTTTGTTCAAGCACGTCAAACAATGTTAGAAGGCTGTTTCAGCTATGGTGAAAATTGGCGCGTTGTGCTCCTAAACGTGCCTTATTCTTGTATTTATCCGCCTCCGTCGCAGCACGCCTACCCGTTTTCAAGATTTCGCGAACATTGTTGGTGACCGGTTTGGTAAATTATATAAGAATTTGGGGTTCACGCCAGCCATGCTGGAGTACCGCGGTTCAAAACGTGAAATTATTGATGATGATATACCCTGGTTTAAATCATTTTGTGGTTATAACTCCATCCAGTATCCGAAAGCTAAGCATGCGGTTAGATTGGCCTTTGGCCTGCTCGTGAAATAGTGCGGCTTGCCTGGAGCCATGCTGCTGTGTCACAAATTGGGTCACGTTATTAGCTGTTTTCTTGACCAGATGTTCGCCGATGGATTAGCACCCATGTCGTGAAAATGGGTTTCGTTGGCTGATCGGGGGGCTGTCTCCGCTGCAAGTCAGGAGGGCTGGTAATCCGCTCACATTGCTGCAACAAACCGCGGACCCGGTTCTGTGCGCGCGCGCTCGGTTCACGCCTGGTGGAGGCCTTATGCGAGTGCCCTTGTGCAGCCCGTGTCTGGAAAAGAGCTTGTAACGCAGCTCCGAAGTCGGACCTGTCCCCCGTGTGTCCCCTGCGTGGTGTCGCCGGTAACCCGTGTCTGGAGAGAGGGCTCATACCACACCTCCGTAGCTGGACCTGCCCCCCCCCCCCCCCCCCCCCCCCCCGGTGTGTCTCCAGTGTGGTGTCGCTGGCAGCCCATGTCGAGGAAGTGGTCTTACCACACCTCCGTGACTGGACCTGCTCCCCGTGCGCCCCCAGCGTGGTGTCGTCAGCAACCCTTGTCTGAGGGAGGGCTTGTACCGTACCTCCGTAGCTGGACCTACCCCTCCCTTCCCCTCCTCCCTCCCCCCCCCCCCCCCCCCGTGTGCCCCAGCGTGATGTCCCTGGCAGCCCGTGTCGACGGAGGGCTCGCATCACATCTCCCTAGCTGGACCTGCCCTCCGTGTGTCACAAGCGTGGTGTCGCCGGCAGCCCGTGTCTGAGGGAGGGCTCGCGTCACATCTCCGTAGCTGGACTTGTGCCCCGTCATCACCATTGTCCGATGAGTGGTCTGCTGACGGCTGCCGCGTTACAGCCTCGTCGGACGAGCACGCGCGCCTCTGGAACGTCGAGACGGGTGCGGTGATGCGTACCTACAAGGGCCACTCGAAGGCGCTCACCAGCCTGGCGTTCTCCGATGACTGAGCTGCGTGGCGATGCCCGTGCCGGGGCACCGTTCCCCGCCGTATCGGTCGCCGCAGCGGGCGCCAGTGGCGCGGGAGACACGTCGTTGACCTTGAGCGGGGGCGACGGCGTCTTGGGACTGTGCGAAGGTCGCGCTGAGACTGTGGCCGACAGACGCAGTGCTGGGTGTATGGTGACAGCGTCGCATGGCCGTGCCATAAACTGCCGCGTGCCCACGCCGTATGCTGACGCGCTCGGCTCGCTAGCGTGGTGTTTTGTATGCTCTGCGCTTCGACCTTTTAATGCGTGTTTCGGTACGTCAATAAATGCTGCATCTCGTGTTCATGACAGATCTTGTGATGTTTTCTTTTCATGATATTGCGCACAATCCTTCGTGTTCACAGAGCACGAGCACAAACACGGCCAAGTCCAGGGAATGTTTCTGTGGCTAAAAGTGATGAGGGTGGACCAACGATTTAATTTTTTTAGCAAGGATAAAAGTGCATCGTGCAAAGTCTTTCGTGCATCTATCTCATCAGTAAGTTCTTCCCCAGAATTCACTCAATTTGGATTATGACTATGCCATTCGCCATTTGAGCCACTTCTAATGTGAGGAGGTAAACCGCAAATGTTTTACACGTTATTTTGTGTTTTGCAATGCTCTGTGTGGATAATTTTTAGGAGGGTGGGCGTTTCAGCAGGATTTAAGCTGCATCAGAATTTTTAAAAAACGCTGGTCGTGGGCATGCTTCCTATGTTGAAGTGACAGCAATGTTGTTGTGAATGCGGCAGTTAAGTCGCCCGGTTTAGCCAGTAGGCTTCTCCTTACTGGAATGGCTTCATCAATTAATCCGACCGACATGAATCGAACATGTGGACGTTGATCAAACTAGTCACTGACAGCAGTTAGCCGAGCAGCGCTAACCCATGCGAGACATGTTAATCGAGCTTCGTTGGCGCATTAGACACGCACATGCTTCAACGGAGCGGCATTTGTTGCGGTAGGGGGCGACCCCCGCTGGATCGCGATGCAGGACGAATCGAACCGGCGCGCCGAGCGAACCGTGTGCGTGACGGCCGACGGGGACGTGGCGTGACGACGTGAGCGCGGCCAGCAAGGGCTGGGGCCGGGCTGCGGCGCGGCTGAGGGCCGCTGCTGTCCTGCGCTGCTAGTGTGCAGGGGGGACGCGCGTCAGTGTGCCAGAGACAGGGACCCCCGCTGCCGTCTGTGGCCCTGGTGACCGTGCTGGTGTTGATGGACTGATGGGCCCGTGGACCAGATTCGGTCGGGCCATGCTGGCGCACGTGTTAGGTTGTAGTTAACATGCATGTCCCGTAGCTCGGTCGGTTAGAGCCCATAGCCCAGTCGGTTAGAGCGTCTGCCTTTCGATCCACACACCCGTGGCAGGGTGGGTTCTAGTCGCTTTGGGTCCTCATTATTTGCCCTTGACAGACCTGGCATGCGGCCTGTGGCAGCGGCTGCGCTATAGGTCAGGTGACGTCAGAGGGCGGAACAGACCGTGCCGACCATTGTGGCATGGTAAACTTTCGCCACCAAATTCTGCCGTTGGCATGAAATTGCGCAGTCAGATAGAAGGGTTGCATACAACAAGCAATGCTGAGCTTAGCTCTGATCCCCCCAAATTGATTCATTCAAAAAGTTTGGATTACATTTTAGAAAATTAAGAAGGTTGTCATTTAGTTGTTTGCGGCTTTTATTCAGTATATTTCATCCGGTAGCGCAAAAGATACGAGAGTACGAAGGATGATGCTGATGTGAAAGCACATCAGCATGAAGGATCTTCTGCGTTGGTGTGAGTGACTCAACATGCTGGACCAATCAAGGGCAATGTGGATTTTTTCGTCCGATTTACACAGTTTTTTAACATGTGTAAAACAGGGTTCTTTTACAATTCAAATTGATCGTAGTGTCAAAGGGGTTAAAAGAGTCATGTATGGTCACTCACAATACGTCGACCTCGATTTAGAGCGGCATTGAGATAGCTGGCGCTGGGCAGAGACTGTTTCCGCGCATAGCAAGCAATCAAGTTTGGTTGAGATATCGCCTGCTACCTGTTTGATCGTTTCCTGGCCTTGACCTTGAATGACTGCACTTGCAACGGACATAATGCTCTCGCATCACCATATGATGCCTCGAAAGCCTCTATGTAGAAAAAACGTGCTTGAGCGAACGTGATGGGACATGATCATATGTGAACTTCAACTTGGTTGCCTCCCCACTTGCAATGGTCTTGAATCATCGCTCAACTACTCGATGTATGTAGACCATCTATCAGCACCATTAGTGTACTAAATGCCATGAAAACGTATCGTCATTACATTGCAGCTCCGAGTTAACACTTTTGGGGCTGCAGACCGTCGAGGACGCGCAAAATATGTCCCAGGAACAGATCAAAGACGTTATAAAAAATGAAAGAGGGCCCTAAATCTTGATGAGCTTTCCCGACAAACCAAGACGATATGCATGTAAGCTTACAAATATGTTCGGAATAGGTCCCGATGTCTAGAAGGACACCCAAAATGATGCAAGGACGTCGCAAACCATGGAAGGTACCCCTGGAGACTCAAAGGCACGTCCCCGCTGGTCTACGAATACGCTCCGTGGGCTAAAGGATTCCTTAAGGAGTTACGTGACAGATAACCTGGAGGGGCACTCCGACAGCGTAAAGGCCGTCACTGACGTGTCGAAACATGTCCGGGGGGAGGTAACGCTTCAGGGGGAGAAGGGCGTCCAAATCGCGGAGGATCAACCCGTAAAGTCTCAAGAGTGTCCCTGAGGTCACCACATGTGTCTTGATGGCTAAAAGGACGCGCCAAGAATAAGTAAACGTCTGAAACTTTTGCCGGGTGGTCTTGGGGGCTCGGTTGCCGCCCCTGGGGTCCGATCAAGATATAAGTTAAAACATCCGGCAAAGCCCCGGATGACTTCTCCAAGGGTTTGAAAATGGCCTTTTGGGGCTAGAATAACACCCTTGACATAACATGATCCCTCACATTCTGTAGAAATGCCCCAAGGTACCAAAAGTACATCCCTAATGTCAGAACACGTCACCAGGGCGATCAAAACGTCCTGAAGAATAAAAAGGCACCCAAGCGCGCCATGAAGACCTTGAGTGATCGTCATGTTTTTCAAGTGACGCCCATGGTATTTAAAAAAGCATATAAGCTACCCTCAGTATATTCAAGCTTCGAGACACGCAAGACAAAAGACACAGGCTGTAAGACCACACAACATTGCGAAGGCGCCCGTGTGCAATGAGCAAACTTGCTGTGCCTGATATGAAGACATAAATCGAATACGTGGAAGAACGTAACTCCAGGATGTATTCCGCACTTCAGCACCGTCGCGAACTTTGCTCACACAGCGGTTTTTTCCCGTGCACCACCCCTAGTCCCGCACCCTGACAGTCTGGTGATAGAGACCCTGCCCCGCCACCGCAGTACCATGCGTCTTGAATAAAATTGACACCTTGAGCCAGTAGCTGACACTGCCAGTGGCTTTGCCTGAAAACAGCGTAAGGTAATCTTATTTCATCAAATGATGAATAGTGCAGTAATTCATTTCATCAAATTAGATATTAGTATGTAACATGATGTATGTGATGTCATATAATGCTCTCCAAAATATGCTTTGCTACCTGAACCCAGTCAGACTTTTTGCCTCATATTAGGTATTAACCAAATTCCTTCGTAAGGTTATCGCTCGCAACTGAAACCAACATAACCACTCACTTTTATTGTTTTTGCTAAGGTCATGAACCTTCTGTAAAAGCTGAACAACTTAGACTATCATTGGCTTTCCTAAACCTAACATGTGGCTTACCTGCTGATGCCAGGCGCCGTAGTAAAATTAATTGAAGTGTTGAAACATGACAGTTTCCCAGAGCCGACCAAGCGAGATCCCAATACACGTAGGTCACGTGAGGCACAGATTGCGTTGTGTGGCGTTGTAACTGCTTTGTTGCAAAGAGATTGGCCATGTGAATAGTTGTGGTCTTCCTAGCAATTGTATAAAATCGGAGCTTTTGTATTGTCTGGTTGGAGCTCCTTCACTGAAATTGACACCCTCCTGAACAGTGCCCGCCCTATCAAAATTACTGGTCCCACTTCGGGACAGCGGTGCTGGCGCCCATACCGCCGGGCTGTCATGTGTTTAACTAACAGCACTTCCAGCTTTACGTAAAAGAAATTATCGGGAATAAGAGCGCAGCTGATGTTGCCCCCTGGTTTGGCATCCGTGAAGGCCGCGGGACCGTTCGTTCTGGCGATAAGTGAGTGTCATATTTCTTTTAACAAACTGCTATCCCACACAGGTACGACTAGCATCCTGGCTTGGTTCGAAACAGCCATCCGCTGAAGTTTTGTTACAAGGTGTTAGTGACACTTGGGTATTTTCTCTTCCTCCAAGATATGCCTTGTTACATTAGCTTCGTCAGACTTTTTACACCATGTCTTGAAATATAAAAACTCATCCGTCGCTAAAAGCTAGACCTTTTGGCGCTAAGCATTTCAAGATGTTTTTTAAGCTACTAAAGTGGTATTTGCACTTGCAGCTAACATGCGTAAGTTGCGCATATGAAGCGCATATAGACGACTAAAAAGCTTGTAGCATGTTAAGACACACGTTTTCGTACCAAATGGTATCGTAAACTTCACGACCACATACTGACACGCGGTCCGTAATAGACACGCGCAATCATTCGACCCTTGCTATGATTAATCAATGATTTCAAGGTTTGCGAAGATTGCATTCTATATTGGTGCGGGCAATTCAAAACCTCTCCAATAAATGACATGTGTATGGTCACGTGACCCAAATATGGCTGCCTGAATAGATGTGACGTTATATATCACTTACGTGCGTACTAAGCTTCTGTTATAGCCGACCATGATTGGCAAGCTATCCCGTGTCATTTCGCAACTCAGCACGCATTTTGGGGCCAAGCTAAAGCGCTCGGCTCAGGATGCATTTGTCATGGCTAAGACCGGGACCGATTCAACCCAATACGATTTGAGAACGGCAGGACGTCAGGGGTAAAGCGCAGCACTTAAGCTGTGCAGCGGAGAGGATGCATGACTCACTGGAGAATGCTGGGACTTGAGATGGATATGATGACCGTAAATTGCGCAGTTATGACGATCATTTATAACGCGTAAATCCGTGTCATACTGCCGGATGCTACTCGATGGATGGCTTGGTGCCGAAGGCGATACTGTCAAGAAATATGGGCTGGTTGTTTTCGACTGAAGGCGTTAGCTTAACACCACAACACAGAGTTCCCGCGTCTAGCTTGGCTATGAGTTAGTGTCAGCAAAAGGAGCTTCAATA